GAGGACCCTCGCAATAGCGACCTTCCAACATATTGGCCTTACAGATCGTGGCGTCCGAAATCTGAGGGGACCCGGAAATATCAATCACACCGAGCACGTCGCTCGGAACATCTTCCGCCACTCGGGAAGCCTCGCCCCCGATCTCTCTCTCTCGACCATCTCAGCCTGGGACGGAGTGGCCTCAACTCTTTCTGGCTCGAGAACCTCGGCCGAAGCTCCCTCGTTAACCTCCTCCGGTATGGAGGAATTTTGTATTGAAGCACCAGCCCGCACACGGGCTACCAGATTGGATCCTTCTTCTTCTTCTTCTTCTTCAGACTCGTCCTTTAGCCGACGGACTGAGTCCAAGGATACAGCGATGGTGCTCCCTTTGTGTTTACGAGCTTGCCTTTTCTTTATCTTTTCCTTTTCCGAGTTCAGGGAACTCGGAGCCCCTTTTCTCTTCTTTTTTTTTGGCCTGCTTCAGAGCAGGTGGTTGGGGAAGGACTTCTTCTTCGTCAGATAGGGGCCTCATTGCTACATCCTTCCCAAGGCCTACAAAGGAAAAAAGACGAGTAAGCTCAAAAATAATCCTCGAATGATAATCGTCCTAAGAAAGAAGCTTACCATGATTGCGGGCCTCCTATCGACCCTTTGATAACTCCATCCAAGCACGCTCGGAGTATGATCTCTGCGACACCAGGCCCTCGACCCATTGCTTGAGATCGGGGGCTACCTCCGGCACCTGGGTCACAGCTGCAACACCAAAAAAATATAGATGAGGAAAGAGGATAAGAGGTAAAATAGCGAAATTAAAAAAACAAAGTACTACTCACAATTCATGTTCCATTTCTCTAGAAACGGTATGTCTTCAGCCGGGATCAGGTTCAAAGTCCTTATTCGGACAAACCGGCCCATCCAACCTCGGTCGCGAGCCCCATCTATGCTCGAGAACGGGGCCTTAATGACCCGAGGAGCAAGCTTAATCAGCCCTCCTCGATAGAGTCGGGGACTGTAAAGGCACATAAGGTTGTCGAGGGTCAAAAGGACATCCCTCGATTTTGCTCACGAAAAATCGAAGGAGAATCACTATTCTCTAGAAGGAAGGATGGGTCTGGCCAAGGGTCACGTCATACCTCTCACAGAAGGCGACGATGATAGGGTCTAAGGGACCCAATGTGAAAGGGCAAGTGTAAACACTTAGAAAACACTCCACATGGGTAGTGATCGACTCCTCGGGCGAAGGTACCACAACATGTTTATCAATCCAGTGGCACTCCTCTTTAACTTTGTCAAGAAGATCATCGGTTATCGTGCATATGTACCTCGAGACCGATTCACATCGACCAGGTACTGAGGAGGTTGTTTCAATCCTAAAATCGGCGACAGTAGGGCACCCTCCCGGAACGAAATCCTCAAGGGGAGGTTCCGCTGTAGCTCCGTCGCCAGCGGGCGGTGAAGAAGAGGCCGTCTCCTTTTGCGGTACGGTTTTAGAAGTTTTTTCCATTGTAAAGTAGAAGAGAAGAGAATTAGGATGATATGAGATTTGCTTGAGATTCAAGAGATTTGGGAGCGAGAGTTGCAAGCAAAGAGATTTTTGAAGAGAAGAAACAATGAGGGAAATTTTGAGCGTAAAGTTTGAGTGGAAGACGATGGCGGAACTTATAGCTTCCTGGTGGCGGTTTAGAACCGGTGGTGGCCGACCAGCAACTGACAGGCATTTAATGCCTCGGTAACCGAACCGATGGGACGTTTCAGTATCCACTTGTCGCTGACGTCATAGTCGGGCTCGTCGCTTATGTCATGGCATATCGAGACCGAACTGGAAAGGTTCATATCGTTTCTCTTCATCTTCTCTCCAAGAAAGGAGGGGACTATCTGTATACGGTCAAAATTGGGCTTGCCCTTTTTGTATGACTGATCGAGACTGGAACGCGATAAGTCAAGGTTCAGCCTCGTATTATATCAAACCATGATGCAAAGTTAGGTTGTCGAGCTCGTGGCCCTGAGATCGATCAAGATCGAGATAGACCAAGATCGAGACCAAACAAGATAGAGATAGAGGGAAGCTTACCGAGCCGAATAACGGAAAGCCAAAATATCCGCAGCCGAGCGAGGATCACGGCGCGAATCCCGGCACATATCAAGAAGAGTCCGATTAATTAGCCAATTATGGGATTTCTTACCTCATATAGAATTGTACCTAGAGTAGGACTCCCATACTACATAAAGGGGGGTTTGATCATTTGTAAACATATCATATTCACGCAATACTAAGCAATATACTGTCATTTTCTAGCTTTCATTATCCTGTTATTCTGTTCATAAACAAGTTGAAACAAATTTGGTTCAAGGGTGACTGAACTCAAGGGCCAATGTTGTTCAATTCATGTGGTTTGCATTATTTCTTTCATCGTCAATATCAATATTAATTTATTCTTCTTAATTTGTATCAAGTTATATCACGTATCCTTAAAACCGCGTATAAGTTCAATTGTTATCCGAGTTTAGGGTAAAAAATCTTATTACTGATTCCATTAGAATGCTGGGCTACTGGTGAAAAAATCAGTGGCCGTGATGGTGGTGGAACTGTGGGTGACATTATCTAATTGGGATGGTTTGTGCGATAGTGGTGGAAGGGTGAAGGGATGTTTGATTGGGGTGATTTCACTGTGGAGGAAGAATCACGATGGTGGTGGCGACGTGGCTATGATGCAGTGGCAGCTCAATCCTAAAGCCACTAAAGCAGTGGCTTTAGGCCCCCAAAAAATTAAGGCCCCAAATTTTCTCAGATTGTATATAGTATAAATAATTATGTATTTATTATTAGTGATAAATAAATCATTTATTGTCAATTTTTAAATTTTTTACTAAAAATTGTAGATTATTAAATTTGCATTTACTTCCTATTTTTTGTTATTCGTTTTTGTTACCTCATGCATGGTGGATGAGCTCAACTTCTTAATTTTTGTCTAACTCACTTCAACTTGAATCAATTTTGTGTATAACTATGATTTTGTAGAATCTTCTTCTATTCTTTAGGTGCTTTTTAAACAATTTTTCAATCTTAAGCTAATAAAATTATTAAAGGATTAGATATGAAAAAGTACTTCTTAACCTCGAATGTATTTTGAGGCCTCTTTTTAAATTTTCTCTTTAGGCCACATAGTGTTGAGTCGCCTCTGCTATGATGGTGGAGGTGGTGTGGACAGAGAGAGGAAGCGGGATAAAAATTACTATCTTTCACGCACTCAAAGCCAGTAATACACATACTGTGCTATATCACCAGTGTTGGTTTAATAGACAGTTTGATTCGAATTTTGGTAGTCAATAGGTACAACCCTTAGTACGGTGTCTACATAAAAAAAAATTGCAAATTTAAAGGGACGCATATGTATTTTGGCCTTTTGGTTATAAAAAGAAAGGGAATTTTAAAAAATAAGTAAAGTGGGTGCCCTATTTTAGTTGAACTAATCTTATGATACGCGCTTTGCGCGTGTACACTATCTCAATAAGAAAGAACTATAGAATACTATATAAATAATATACTAAAATATTATATTTGAGTGATAAAATAAAAGTTAATTTTTCCTAAAACGATGAATCTTCATACAAGTTCTCAATCATTAGTCAATATATTTAACTAAAAATTTATTTTAATTTTTTAATTCAATCATTTTAAATTCATAAATTATCATGCTTCTTTTTCAATTTCAACAATCACATATAATCCTTGAAAACCTAAGAATTTTTAAAGAGTTATTCCCTAATTCATTTTAGAAGACTCAAACAGGATTAACAAATTGATAGAAAATAATATATTTTTTTCAAAAATAAAATGCAACTGATTTAATTTTTTAATTAATAATAAATACTATATGAATTATTATAAACATATTAGAAAATGAATAAATTATTGTAGCTCATTGTATAATCAAATTACATAACTTATACGAAGAAAAGGTGTTCTAAAAAAGAAAAAGAAAATAAACAACACTAAACCTAAAATTTAAAAATAAAAAAAATAGAGCACGTCAAGGACTCTTAAACAAAAATTTCAAAACAAAAGGATAATTATATGATTTTTCATATAAAAGTCCTAAATATTAGGCTATTAATTAAATGTTTGTCCCTAGCATTAGAAAAATAATTAATGACTATTCCTGCATATAAGGAAAATAACTAAAATTACTATTCTGTCCAATATAAAATAATTAATGACGATTTTCATATTGAAGAAATTACAATTCAAATACAATCCAAATAAAGATCAAGTGGATCAAACTTTTTAAATTCGGTTTCTAATTAATCGGATTGGGTATTTCGAATTCTTGGTTTTCAGCCGCTAAGTCGATCTTCTTTATTCTTCTTATAAAAAAGTAACACAAAGAAATCATGTCAAATTGCCTAAATAGTTCATTATTCCCACCATACATCATCCAAATAAAGCATGCAAACGTTCATTATTAAAGCGCAACAAAAGTATTAATAAAGTCCAACGAATTAGCAAGTCAAATACATCAAGACCATGCCAAATTGGATAGTATTGCAGCTCCAGCCTTCGGTGTTCACAAACGCATAAAACGAAAGCTGGCGTGGGTGAGAAAGAAGAAAATCCTATATTCGATTTAGTATGGTATCTGATATTGAAGTTAGTAATTGATATTGAATATAAAGCCAATATCTAACGTGTGGGGTATTTGACTTATTAGTATTTGCCATATGGAAAATATGTGTCTAATGGGTAAGGACAAAATATAAAGTATAAATATTTTGCATTTCTAAATATCAAAAAATCTTAAATCCAATTCGAAATCCGAAATTTTATAAAGTAAATCTGAAACCAATTGTAATCCGAAAATCCAAACCAAAACTCCAAAAAATATTCAATTTCGGTTCGAATTTCGGGTTTTGCCTAAACCATGTCACCCCTGCCCTCAAGGACAAGTTCAAAACTCATGATGCGTTGTTACTTGACCACGTAGTAAATGTAGATTGAACAGTCAACATAAGATTTGAAATGAAACTCGAAAATGGACATGGAGAATCAACTCAAATTATGGGCACATATTTGATTGTTATATGTACACTTGACACAATTAGTTGTTGTCATACTTTCAGCAGAAAAGTATAATGAAACAAAGTCAATACTCATTCCACCCAATTTATGTCCAAATCCTTGAGTTTCATGAGCCATTTTTGTGCATCTTGTGCAACAAAAGGTTTAGACGATGTTGTTTCACCATTTACATCATTAGCTAACACTTCAACTTTCGTCTCCTTGGCAAGGTTTGCTTGTCTGTTAGGATGCCTTACCTTAAGTGACAGAAGACGTGAAACTTCATGAAGGCCACCCCATTTTTCTAATGCACGAGCAATATCATAGCGACCTGTAGGAGATAACTTGAAACAATCAGAACCATATGCGAGGTAAAGAATCACCGCAACTCTACGCCTCATAAACATTGTGTCATGTGGCACCCAGATGGAATCCAAATATCTGATTGTCCCAAGTGTCAACCACCATTGTGGCCCGGGACCATAGAACTTCCTCAAGATGAGTTACACTTTCAAAACACGTTGTAACGCCGGAACCAGGAACCCTATGAAGTTTGGTACCCATCAAAGTTACAGAGCATTGGAGCTTGAAAAGTACGTAGTACTATAAACGTAAACCCTCTTATTTCCTGATGTTTTAAATTTCTCAGATTCAAATAACTAAATCAAATTTTCTTAAACAAAGCTCAACAGTTAGCAAAGCCTGATGTTTTAAACTTTTTGTTTACCACTGATTCTTAAACCATCTCAGTTTGAACATTGCTGAAGTTGTGTGACACAGTATCCTCCACTTTTATTTCACTTATTTCTTCCATTTTTGTAGGGCAGTGGGTGGAGCGGATGAGACAATTACACCAAAACAGGAACAAAATCTTGTAATCAAGTTCCATACCTGCACGTTCAAAGGATTTTCTACTGGGCATATATGATGGATCCATTCCCCAATTCGTCTGGAAGCGATTGATCTGAGAAGTTGCAGTTGCAGATTAATTTCCAATCTTAATCAAAATAATCAAAAAAAATATGAAATGCAACAAAAAAGGTGGTAAACTTTCTTAAAGAGTGAAACTCAATTTTTTCCCCATTGATCAGTATCTCTTATGATGTTTTCTGCTTTTGCATGTATTCACAGTTTATGCAAGAAATCAGAAGTTATAATTAGTACGAAGAACTGGTGTCTAACCTCCTCTTGTAAATTGTCCAAGCTATCCCAGTAACCTTTCGGTTTGCGGTGTTTGTAAGCAAGAGAGAGATTCATCAATGAAGCAATTCTTCTAAAACCTCCCATGCGTGTAATCGCCTTCTCAATGTCCACTCTTCCATGGTTCCTGAGTTGCTTTCTCATAGGCATAAATCCTTCCTGTCCATGTTCAGAGATAAAATCCAAGAGCTCAGCTTTGAGAACTTCAATATTCCTCTGCAGCCCTGGAACTTTCGGCCTTCGTCGGGGTGAATATAAACTACAACTGTCTGAATTCTGCACAGCTGGCCTATCAGAATAAACAGATGAATCCTTGATTGATGAACTAACCGATGCCTCTCTACACGCATCATGGTTAATTTTCTCAAGAGGTTTCTCAGTTTCTCTTTTCTCAATGTGATCACGGATTGCACATAAGTTAGAGGGAAGGTCCTCATATATGACCTGAAAATGTCACGAACTGCTGAAAGTCCAGAGAATCAATGTAATAATACGATAGAATATAGGGAAATTTTCAAAGACCTCTCCTCGGGTTTTGCTTCGTAATACTAACCTCCCTTGTAGTTTGCAGTATTACGCTTACCTCCCTTAGTTTGATTTCTCCTTAACAATTATTTTAATCTATTTCCTATGAATGGGAAAAAACTATAACCTGACTGATTTGCACTTCATAATTTTATGCTCCTTTGATTAATTTATTTAATGAATATCTTCTTTAACAAGTCCCGGTAGAATAAGAAAAGAGAAATACCGTAAGCATGAAAATTCTCTTCCGTTTTCTCTGCAAATCGACAGTTTTCTGTTTTCCTGTTCCTCTTCAGCCTTCTCATCATCTTCTCTGTAAATGCAGTCATTCTTCACTCGTCATTTTTCCAGCAGCAGAAGGCACATGAAGGTTCTAATTCGTAATATTTCCTGCAGATTTATTGTCTTTGCTTATGTGAATTAGGTATTTTATTACCCTAAAAGTTACATGTCAAGACAAGCTACAAGTTGCATATCATATAATTAGTTCCTCAAGGTTTGCGGTTTGCCCTATAAGTAGTATCATTTAAACCTGACAAGCCAAGCAAGCTCTTTTCAACTTCCAATTGGTGCTTTTTATGGGATATAAAATGCAATGTCTCTCAAAGAAAAGGCCAACATCCTCTCTGGGGTTTGTTTTCATGCTTGTTCAGACTACTGCAATAAATTGCAAACCTTTGCAGAAAGGAGATCATTCAGATGGAGCTGTTCAACCAGGGAGAGAATCTAGATGCGATGAGTCAGCACACACAGAGTATAGGATTTAGCTATGAACTAGGTGCATGATGAAGTACAAAATAAACAAACTACCGCCTGGTGATTTGTTAATGCTATTTCCCTTCTCATTATTACCCTCACCTTCGCAACTGCTTCCCATTTTCATCGTTCGGCATATATACTGGACAACAATACATAGTTACCAGAATTCCAAAGTTCATGCTTAACAAGTTCTAAGTGCACATTAAGCAAGATCCATTTCCCCCTAAATGTAACAAGTGCTAATCAACGCACCCCATGTAGTAGCATTTGGTTCCAATCGGCATGGTTGTAAATTCACCAGTTATGAGCCTCCTTTAGACAACTACCACGACTTGGAAGATCAACCATGCATCAATAATGCTCAAATGTTGGCTCTATACCAAGATTGGCAATCATCGAATCAAAAAATCTCCACCTCTTTGGACCAGACCTGCATGGACACAACATGCTATGACACCTACAAAAGTTGAACAATTAGGGCTCACACCTTCATCAAACAATTGAACTCCCAGCTCATTCTTTTCTCATAAAGGGTGTGTATGGGTATGCAGGAAACTATTTTCTGGAAGATAATTTTTAATTATTTCATGTAAGCTGGCTTAAATATTTTGAAAAATATTTTTCTTATGAACAAATTTTCCTCTAATTTCAAGAAAATAATTTTCCCAACAAAAGGGAACTTATTTTCCAAAACTTTCATGTTAGATAGTTGTGAATATATATAATTAGTCCTAGTCCCTATGTAATAAGAGTAGGTTATGTTATGTATACTTATAAAAAGGGCTCATTGTGACATAGTTAGAATATCAATAATATATTTTTCTCCCATGCTTTCTCACATGGTATCAGAGCAACCGTGAGAAATTTATCGATGTGCATAAATTCCAGCGACTCCGGGAAGAGAAATTAGTCAACCGGAGCCCTTTTCCAGCAAAAACAGGTATGCCGACAAGAACAATATTATCCGTCATCGTTGTGCAAAAACCAACACTACCGCGAAGTAGATCAGCCTCCGGCGACCAACCATGAAAAAAATCTCCGGCAGAAAAGTATCCACGCGCCTTCACGCACTGCCGAAAGAATTTCTCAAGCGAAGTTCCGACGTCCATGCGCCGGCGCGTGAGGCTGTTTCCAGCAAAATTTACAAAACTTCTTCAGGCCAATATGTTCCTTTGCAATTCCGAGCCTACCCATCCAATTTAAACCAAATTCCGACCACTTTTATATTTTTTCCGGCGTGAACAATAATTTTCAGATTTTTGCGGCGTGAACATTATAATGGCATTCGTATCAGAAGCCTTTAACTCACAATCCGTTGGATCCAATGCATTGAATCCAATCCAGATGGTTTCTTTATCGGAATATATAGAGTTCCTTTAGTACAAAGCTTGTAGACAGCCATCTTGTGAGATTGCTACTATTGTTCAAACAGGTAATAGCGTTACTTGTATCTAGAAACCTTCGTTCTCCCAGTAATTGGGTAATTGATTCAGGAGCGTCTCATATTTCTGGTAATAAATCTGCTTCCACTATTATTTCCTATTATCAATCTCTTCCAACGGTCACAATGGCCAGTGGGTCTCAAACTGTGGCAACTGGAATAGGTCAAGCAAGTCCATTTCATTGTTTACCTTGAATTCAGTTCTTTATGTTCCCACTAGTCCTTTTAATTTCATAGTCGTTAGTCGCTTAGCCAAATCACTTAAATGTTTTATTTTATTTCTTGATGACCTTGTTTTTACACAGGAACGCAGTACGGGGCAGATCATTGGTACAGGGCATGAATCAAATGGACTTTATTACCTTATCCTTGCTAAATCACATGAACCCACATCAACAACTCGTTCTGTTACTGATTCACCAGATTTATTACATAAACGATTGGGACATCCCAGTTTATCAAAACTTCAGAAAATGGTACCTGGTTTGTTTCACTTGTCCACTCTAGAGTGTGAGTCATGTTAGCTCGGTAAGCATAGTCGCTCTCATTTCCCTCGGCGTCCTGATAATCGAGCAGAGTCACCTTTCACTTTAGTCTATTCAGATGTTTGGCATCCAAGTCGGGTCAATTCTACCTTGGGATTCCGCTACTTTGTTAGTTTCATTGATGATTATTCCAGGTGCACTTGGATATTCTTGATGAAAAATTGACCTGCGTTGTTTCTATTTTACAGACCTTCGACGCTGAAATCCAAAATCAATTTGGGGTTTCTATCCGCACATTTCATAGTGACAATGCCCAGAGTATTTGTCTCCTCCATTTCAGATTTTTATGAACTCTCATGGAATCATTCATCAAACGTCTTGTCCATACACATCTCAACAAAATGGGGTAGTGAAAATGAAGAATAGGCATCTTATTGAGACTGCTCGTACCATATTCATACAATCTCATGTTCCGTTGTGTTTTTTGGGATGCAATTGTCACATCTTGTTATCTTATTAATCGTATGCCATGCTTAGCTATCCAGAATCAAGTTCCATTCTTTGTGTTGTTTCCTCACACACCCTTGTTCCCTCTTCCACCTCGTGTATTTGGGAGCACATGTTTTGTTCATACCTTACACCCGGAAAAGATAAGTTAGCACATGTCGCACACGCCGGTCATTTTATGGTCTAAAGTAGTCTTTCTCGAGCCTGATTTGCTAACTTTAGCATATCTATCCAGGAGTTTTGCATGACTCATAGTGAAGTCGGTCACTCTGTGTTTTATCGGCATTCTGCTTCAAATGTCCGTACTTATCTGGTGGTTATGTTGCTATTGTTATAACTGGCAATGATGAAGAAGGTAATTACTAAGTTGACGCACCATTTCTTTCAGCACTTTCAGACTAAAGATCTGGGCAGGTTAAAGTGTTTTCTAGGTATTGAGGTCGCTCAATCTAGCTCAGGTATTGTGATCACACAACGGAAGTATGCCTTAGACATTCTTGAAAAAACAGGAATGACAGCTGCAAGCCTGTTGACCGTCTGATGGATCCCAATTCTAAACTTCTGCTAGGACAGGGGGAGCCGCTTAGCGATCCTGCAATATATAGGTGGCTGGTTTGTAAATTAAATTATCTCACATTGAGTAGACCTGACATTTCCGCTCCTGTGAGACTGTGAGTGTTGTAAGTCAGTTTATGGATTCTCAATGTGATAGTTATTGGGATGCAGTTGTCCGCATACTTCGGTATGTAAAATCAGCTCCAGGAAAATGATTATTGTTTGAGGATCGAGGCCTTGAGCAGATCGTTGGATACTCAGATGCTGATTGGGCAGGATCACCTTCTGATAAACGTTCTACTTCTGGATATTGTGTCTTAGTAGGAGGAAATTTGGTATCTTAGAAGAGCAAGAAACAGAATGTGGTTGCTCGGTCTAAGTACAAAAGCAGAATATCGAGCAATGGCCATGGCGACATGTGAGCTAATTTGGATCAAACAGTTGCTCAAGGAATTGAAATTTGGTGAGATCAACTAGATGGAACTTATTTGTGATAGTCAAACTGCTCTTCATATTGCATCAAATCCAATGTTCCATGAGAGAACTAAACACATTGAGATTGACTTTCACTTTGTCAGAGAAAAGATACTCTCGGAGATATTACAACAAAGTTTGTGAAGTCGAATGATCAACTTGCAGAAATTTTCACCAAGTCTCTCATTGGTCCACGTATGAGCTACATATGTAATAAGCTCGGTACATATGATTTATATGCACCAGCTTGACAGGGGAGAGTTAGATAGTTAATATAATTGTAAATAAGTATAGTCCCACATGGAATAGGATTAGTGTATAATTGTATATTGTTATAAATAGGGTCCTTGTACTATCGTTAAAAGATATCAATAATATAATTTTCCCATGTATTATTTCTCGCATTTACGTTTGTAACAAGCTCGGTATATATATATATATATATATATATATATATATATATATATATATATATNATATATGTGTGTGTGTGTGTGTGTACGCGCGCGCGCGCGCGCTTAGTGTCCCACATTGGACAATAGGTCGTATGTATTGTGTAAAATCTGTATATAGATAGGGCTCATTGTAAGATAATTAAGTTATGCATCTTAATAATATTTTCCTGTGCCTTTACATCTCACACATCATTTCTTTGCATTTTTATTTCCATTTAGACGGGGTGGATCCCATACAAAGAAATCCAAATAAGGGAGTTAACTATAATATTGCAAACCACAAGGGAGGTTAGTATTATGAAGCAAAACCTGAGAGGAGATCCGAAATTTTCCCTAGAATAGGTATTCGTATTAACAATATAAAATATTCTTCATAAATTCTGTCAACATTAGGTGTACTGGTATTTACGTAATATTCCTTGTTTAATAACTTTTCTTATTTAGCACTCCTTATATAAGAGTTTAGACTACCCGAAATAAGGTAACTTCAGACTACAACCAATTTAATACAAGTTGGTTTTTCAGACAAAAATTTTCTTGTAATCCTGGCATATGAATGTAGGAAAATAAATCTCAATGTCAACTGGATGAAGAGAGTAGCCATTGATACAAACCTCTTCCATAATTGCTTCAGAAAGAAAAGAATTCTTGTGCATTTTTGACTCCACGCTGTACTTCAGTAGTGTATGATGACTGCCTAATTGCTCTAAGATCCACTTTCCTTGAAAAGAATCGAAGTCGCCTTCCACCTGCTCAAAGCTAATTTCTTGTTCTATATGTTCAGATAAGTCTAGGACGACACGTGCATGGAGTACCATGTATAGGAGACCCTTGCATCCTTCCTGGAAAGGGACAAGTAGAAGCATCACCTTATTGATTCAAGGAGTTATCCACTTACTAATATATGATAAACATATTTCATTACAATACAGAANACCACTAGCTCCTGGGCAACTTTGTGTAAGCAGGTTTTAACACAAGGAAACCCCACAATATATGATATACCACCATTTTTAAAGTTACACGCGATGGTCATTTTTAACGACATTGATGTATTGGGAAATAAAGTTAGACCATTGGGGAAGCGTTTGCACTAACATTAATCCAATTTGACACAGCCGGACTAAATTGATGCAAACTAAAGCAACATGACTAGATTGTACAATAAGAAAGACTGGTGGATTTAACCTGGTTCGACAAGTATTTGTGCTTTTTCACGGAAAGATGACCTGTTCTTTCACCATGAGAAACTTAGTACCAGAATTTCAAAGTTGGATTTGCAGGCCCGGTAAACCCAACCAAAGTACCTTCCACACTGTGTATGTAATGTAAAGTTAGTGTCCCACATTGGAAATAGGTAGTGTAACGACCCGACCGGTCGTTTTGAGTATTAGAACCTCATTCCCTATTTGATGTTTCCCGTATGTTTATTTGATGTTGTATGACTTGTAAGGATAGTTGGTTTTGTTTCGGGAAGGGTTGAGAGTGAATTGGAACACTTAGTTCCATTTGGGAAAGCTTAAGTTGTAAGACTTGACCAAGGTTTGATTTTTGAGTGAACAACCTCGAAATCGGGATCTAAGGGTTCCAATATATTCGTATGGCGATATTTTTGGACATAGGCGTATTTTCAGATTTGAATTTAGAGGTTCCTAGAAGGTTTGGCTCTTTTTTGTTGAAAGTTGGCAATTTGAAGAATTTGAGAGTTCTTAAGTTTGACAGGTAGTTGACTTTTGGGTTAATGAGCTTAGATCATGGTTTTGAGACCTTGGATAGGTCCTAATGGTTGATATGAACTTGTGTGTAGTTTGGTTGTAATCCGGAATGTCAAGGGTGATTCGGATGCATTCGGCGAAGTTTGAAAAGTTAAGAGATGAATTTGATCTTCGATTCTTGGTTTGCTGTTGTTTTTTATGTTTCAAGTCTTGCGACAAGCTTACAGGAAGTATATGGACATGATTCAGGCTACTGGTTTTCTAGTGCAGGGTGGTGCTTCGATCGCGGAGCTGAGTCTCGCGATCGCGGAGGGAGTCAGGCTGGCGACGTCTTGCACTTCGCGATCACGGAAGGATCTATGCGATCGCGAAGAAGGAAGGTGGTCGGGTTGGTCGTGTTTCGCGATCGCGGGCGAAGGGATGCGATCGCGTAGGCTGGAGAGGGCTGGTCACAGCATTCGCGTGGGTGTGATCGCGTTCGCGAAGAGGTACAAGAGTGAGGCGGCGAGTTGGCCTACGCCGTCGCGAGGTTGAGGGTCGCGACTGCGTAGAGCACTAGACATTTGTGCTCTGCGATCACGAAGGCCCTTTCGCGATCTGGGCAGTGTATCTAAGTTGTTATTCCAAGATTTTTGCCCATTCTCTCATATTTTGAACCCTAAACTTGGAGATGGACGATTTTTCAAGGAGATTTTGATACAAGGCAAGAGGGTAAGTGATTTCTACTCATTTGATGATTATATTTCAAGACTTTACATGGATGTTTTTTTACCCCTAAATCAAGGATTTAAGTGTAAAAATTGAGGTTTTTGGTATGAACTTAAGAGAATGAATTTGGAACCCGATTTCTAACTACATATTTGGACTTGTATGTCGCTTGCGCCGATCACTTTAAGGTCTAAAGCAGTCTCCTTGAGCCCGGTTTGGGAAGTTCAGCATAGTTATTCAGGAGTTTGGCATGACTCGTAGTGAAGCTGATCACTCTGTATTTTATCGACATTATGCTCCAAATTTGTGTATTATTTGGTGGTTTATGTTGACGATATAGTTATTACTCGCAATGATCAAGATGGTATTACTAGTTTGAAGCATCATCTCTTTCAACAATTCCAGATTAAGGATCTGGGCAGATTGAAGTATTTTTAGGTATTGAAGTCGCTCAATACCGAGGGTCTTTCGGAAACAGCCTCTCTACTCCTTCGGGGCAGGGGTAAGGTCTGCGTACTCACTACCCTCCCCAGACCCCACTTGTGGGATTACACTGGGTAGTTGTTGTTGTTGTTGTTGAAGTCGCTCAATCTAGCTCTGGTATTGTCTGCCTTAGACATTTTTGAGGAGACAGGAATGACGGGTTGTATACCCGGTGACACTCATATGGATCTGAATGCTAAACTTCAGCCGGGACCGGGAAAACCTCTTATCGATCTTGCAAGATATAGATGGTTGGTTAATAAGTTGAATTACCTCACAGTGAGTGACCTGACATTTCCTTCCGTGTGAGTGTTGTAAGTCAATTATGAACTCTCCTTGTGATAGTCATTGGGATGTAGTTATCCGAATTCTTCAGTATATAAAATCAGCCCAGGCAAAAGGATTGAGGCCATGAGCAGAACGTGGATACACAAACGTTGATTGGACAAGATTACCTTCTAATAAACATTCTATGTCTGGAAATTGTGTTTTAGTAGGAGGTAATTTGGTGTCTTGGAAGAGCAAGAAATAGAATGTGGTTGCTCGGTCTAGTGCAGAAGCAAAATATCGAGCAATGTCTATGGCAACATATGAGCTAGTTTGGATCAAACAGTTGCTCAAGAAAGTGAAATGTGTGATAATCAAGTTGTCTTTCATATTGTATCAAATTTGGAGTTCCATGAGAGAACTAAACACATTGAGATTGATTGTCACTTCATCAGAGAAAAGATACTCTCAGGAGATATTGTTACAGAGTTTGTGAAGTCAAATAATCAGCTTGCAGATATTTCACCAAGTCCCTCACCGGTCCTCGTATTGGTTATTTATAACAAGCTCGGTACATATAATCTATATGCACCGACTTGAGGGGGAGCAGGGGTGTAGGTACCTTGCTTGAAGCGGTGTCACAGGACACCGCTTCGTCAATTTTTTTTTTTTTTGTAATCTGTATGTATAAATAATTCATAAAATTAAAATATTGGGTATAAATATAAGAAATGACACTGCTTGTCGTTACAGTAATTTATTCATTTGTTCACTTCTTCAAATATTGACACCACTTACGAAAATTCTTGCGTACGCCACTGAGGGGGAGTGTTAGATATGATATGTATTCTTAGTATCCCATATTGGAAAATAGGTAGTGTGTAATATGTAAAGTGTATGTATAAATAGGGCTCAATGTAAGTAAACAGTTAATAGGTAAATTAATAATATTTTCTCCCGTGCTATTTCTCTCACACACCATTTCTCAACTCATAAAGAAGCGCAGCCTCTTGCTTTTCTATTCTCTCTGGTTCTCCACAACTACACAAATTATCTCAATATATCTCCACATTTTACAGGCAAAGGAGTGGACCTAAACCTCCTACAGAAAGAAATCGTAGTTCGTAACAATCAGATAGAAAACTACAATATAGTTGTATAGCAAATATGAGTTAATTTCATAATAAGAAATTTCTATAGATGTTCAAAGGCAACAACACCAAGGAATAGTGGGAAAAAAAGATAAACTAACTAGGAGATTGAGTTCCCTAGTCCCTACTCCAGGTCAACTTGGAAACTGAGTCATCCAAAACAAATGCCTAGTGGTGTCTCATGTCACCTAAGGTCCATAATCATTCAACGTTTTTTCTAGTCGAAAACCTAAGGTCCTATATATTAAGAATTTTAATTATCATTACCAAAGCAAAGTAAAAGACCCATTCAGATCATTTAGCTAATTTCTGTTTATTTTGGTTTTTCTCCAGGTTCTCTTGTAAGATTCAAGATTCCACTCTACCAAATAAAAGAACCAGATTATAGGAAACAATTAGTCCCCTGAGAAGGGAGAAAAGGGGAAAACAGAAACAATGTTACCAAACCCATCATGGAGAAGGCATTTGCTTTGCAGGCACAAGGAAAAAATTTGTAGAGATACATCAGAGGTTTATTTAACACAATTTAAGAAAAACTTTCTCTAAGATTCTCTGTCATGGATGTTTAGATATAAGAAAATGTTATTACTTTCAGTATGAACTAACACAATTCCATGCAGTTCAAATGTAATATACTGCTGCTTTATTCTGTTATTTAATTCAAACGCAAGCCACCTGAAGAATGCGAACTTTGTTGTTGTCCCGTGATAAGATCTTACTGATTGCCAAATTTGGAACTATCCTGCAACAATTCGGGACAAATTAACATTAGTATGACCAAGCCGGAAATTATAATATCTCAATACAAAAAAAGCAGTTAACAATAAGACATCCTTGGTTGCAAGATATTATAAAGGCTAGGAATTTGCTTTACACTGAATAAGACTATGATTCAACGTGTTTCTATTTCTAAGCACTTCAAACTTTGGATGAATTTCTAATGTTGAGTGATTGGTTTAGTCTGTAGTTTAATTTCATTTTTACCATACAATAATTAATTGACGAGGATTTACGCATCTTTAGGAAGCTAAGGTTTGTTCTTCCAGAGTTAGTCAAATGGTTCTCTAATACCATTGAATTCCTTTACTTTCACAAGAACCAGGATACAGAGATTGTATCTCTCTAAGCCGGTAAATCTGAAACATGGAATTAAACATCAGAGAGACTTTACTTAAGACAAACAAGAGAATGCTACCTTATATTACTGTTTGCAGCTTAAGAAACTTTTATGTAGCTAGCCAAAAGACATCTAGTGATATCTATGAATCAAAGCAAGGCCAAGTTTCCCTCATTTCTGCCACTTAAAGGCACATCTAAAATATACACTAAGTGAAATGTAATCACCAGAGGAAACAGATATCAATGATGAGTTTACATGAACAATTTACTATAAAAAAACTCAAACATGATCAGAGGAAAGCCCTTAAAACTTACTCGGGAAGACTTTCATAAGCAGTCAAAACATTCCACACTTCACGAACTGGAGCCTTTACTGTAATACTAGCAACAACACAGCGATGAACACCTCCATTTTCCTTCATCCAAAATCAATTTATGAAAGGGACTACCAAAATAATATGGCTTCGCACGAAAAGGTAAGTCATAGTATAAAGTCTATCAATTACCAGTAGACCATCAAATCTTCGGAGATGGACTTCATCCACCACGCATGGCTTGTCAAGTCTGCAAGCTTTCCCAAATATTCCCCAATTATTACTCACATCACTTGTAGCTGGTGCCAACGGGCCAAAAGTGTCTTTGACAAACTTGTCCTTTAAGTTTTCACTGGAAGATTTATTCTCATGGGATATGGCACAATCAATATCTCTCATCACGGGAATAAGGGAAGAACCAGGTTCGCCTTTGGTATTAGCACAAGTGACAGAAACACTCTGATCACCTTGATAACTGTTTTCAGCTCTGTAGGACAAGGCTTGAAGATTTACTGGGAGGTCTGACCTGATAATCCTCTCCAAGAAAATGGCAGGAAAGTTGAACCTTGGTATGACACTAACTTCATAACTTAGTATAGCTGTTGAAGACCTGAAAAGGAAACCAGGGAAACAAGAAACTAAGGAAGAACTATGTCTACATGTAGAAATATGTCTGCATCATAAGTGCACTAGGGGAAATTGTCCTTTGACTCGTTTGAGGCCAATTCTCTCCTAATCCTACCTTATTTTCTGAAAAAGGCATTTGCAGATTTTGACATTAATATGGAAGACAACATAAAAGGATAATTAGGAAAAGAGAAGTTCTGTCTGCTCCGATAAAGATCTTACCTTTTTCCAGCTCTCACAGACCATCTGCCTTCAAACTTCTTGAAGTCACCGTCAACCATAGAGAAATGGAGTTCGCGAACATTATCCTAAATTTGGAGAATTTATAAAAGATATTAATCAAATCAAGGAAAATAAAGAGCAATGTAAGAAAAAGGCTGTCATCTAGTCATAACCAAAGGAATCTTCAAGGAAATGTGCATTTATCACCATCCTCTCAGCAGGATGCAATGCGCTAGTTCTTATTGTTTTACTGCATGAATAGATTTTATGGGTTTGAATTGTACTACTCATCACAAAAGATGATTTAACACATAAGATCAGTCGGAGAATATTTTCCTTATGGCTTTTAAGAATTTATACGATTTGATTTTATTAGGAGTTTATTCAGAAATACACTTACCAAAAATGTATACAATTGTAATTGTTATAATTCCCAATCAAGCTTTTCAGCCTAATACTATGTCTTATGCTTTTCTGGAACATCAAAAATCCTCAATCAATTCCGCTTCCCAAATCCAAACTCTCACCATCTTCCATTGGAGTTGTTAGATAATAGTATATATAATAATATACTAGTGTCCCACATCGGAGAATAGGTATTAGTGTTATGTAATGTCTGTAAACATATTATCTCCCATGCCTTCTCACATGGTATCAGAGCATCAGTGAGAAATCCCTAGTTTAATGATCCCTTCGGAGCCCTTTACGGGAAGCTCAAATTATTTAGCTTAGGTTTCCTCTGTCGAATTGTGGTGCAAGGGTCAAGATGTTCAAGATCACTTAACCAAAAAGGCTAGTCAAAGAGATGAAAAGGCCAAAGCTCTTTGGAAGAAGATTGACGCTCAGTGATATAGTATCCTGTGGCGATCTATTGATCCAAGTTGATGCCTTTATTTCGTCCATTTTCAGACATGTCATTTAGTTTGGGAAAAGGCTCGGACTTTATACACTAATGACATTTCTCGTTTTATATGATGTGATATCTTGGATGACAAATTTAAAAAACAGGAATCGGATATGTCTACTTACTTGGAAAGGTATGTCTACTTACTTGGAACTGGAATCTCTACATGACTCTCAACAATCTAATGTAGACAAACTAGACAAACTAGTACCATCTCCTGAAGCGTGGATAAACTCGGATGTCCTAAACGTCTGTGAATTAGGTATGGAGGATCTGTAACTAGACATATTGTGGAGGGATTGAGTGAGTAAAGGTAATAAAGGCTTGAGTGAGTTAAGGTAGTAAAGGCCTTCTAATTCACGCCCTGTGCCAATTGTGTGCCTCGTACTGTGGTCCTGCATAATAAAAGAAGCATCAATAAAATATATACCACAATGGAGGGAACAAGTCAAACGACTAACATATGCAAGACTAAAAGGATAGCCAGGGACATAAAGAACGAAATCTAGAGTGATCGAAGATGGGAATTAGCTTGTCCAACTCCTTTTGCTTTAGTTTGAAACCCATTGGCTAAAGTAATAGTGGGAAGAGACAGTGAATACACAATATTCGACAAAAGTGATTTATCACCAGAGATATGATCAGAAGCGCCTGAGTCCATGACCCATGGTCCAAAAGTACTAGACTGGGAAACACAAGCAAAAGAATTACCAGCAACAGAAGTATCAGTCTGAGTAACGAGGCTACTTGTGGAGATGTCTGCTTACTTGCTTGAAACTGAAGAAACTCATTATATTCCCCTTCAGATAAAGAAAATCCCTGATTACCTGTAGTCTCGGTCTGAGCAACATAAGCATTTTTGGGTGGTCGACCATGTAAAAAATAGCACATTTCACGAGTGTGTCCAAGTTTATTACAATAAGAACACTTGGGTCTAGATCTTCCAAAACGACCTCCTCCTCGTCTATTCTAGCTAGTTTCAGATGCCTGATTTTCCACTGTCTGGGATGCGAGAACAGAGGAGTCAAGTGTTTGTGATGCGATCACTAGGTTGTTTAGTGTTGCAGGAAGACGAAGTAATTGAGAGAATAATTCATCAACTGTAGGGATAGCCGGCCTAGTCAAAATCTGGTCACGTACTGAATCAAGGTCATTAGGAAGCCCAGCGAGTGTAAGAACTAGAAACATCTTGTGCCGTTGCTCTTGTTGTTTTTCAATACTAGCAGAAACTGTCATCAACTTCTCAAATTCCTCCATAACTGCCTGTACTTGTCCCAAGTAAGTAGACATATACAATTCCTGTTTCTTCAAGTTTGTCATTCGCGATAATCACATCATAGAATCGAGATATGTCATTAGTGTATAAAGTGCGAGCCTTTTCCCAAACTAATTGATATGTCTGGAATGGACGAAACAAGGGCATCAGCTTGGAATCAATAGATCGCCACAATATACTACACAATTGAGCATCCATCTTTTCCCAAAGTGCTTTAGTCTTTTCATCTCCCTCGCTAGCCTTTTTGGTTAAGTGATCTTAAACACTTCGACCCTTGCACCACAATTCAACAGCGGAAGCCCACGCTAAATAGTTTGAACTTTCCATTAAGGGCTCTGAAGTAATCATGAAGCTTGAATTTCCAGAACCCTTGTTTTTAGAACCAAATACATCAAATCCAAGAGACATGGTTGTACCAAATAGCAAAGACAAGTACGACCAGCAATAATCTCGCCGGAGAAGTGAAGAGAAAAGGCCGGAATCTGGAAAAACAGTTGCCAGAAAAATAGAAAAGTCGCTGGAAAAATAGAAAAGTTGTCGAAATGTGATGAAACTTGAATGGTTAGGGTTGGAAAAGCCTTGCGAACAAGCTGTCTCAAAGAAGGTCGGCTAAAAAAATGGCTGGAATGTGATGAAACTTGAATGGTTAGGGTTGGAAAAGCCTTGCGAACAAGCTGTCTCAAAGAAGGTCGGCTAAAAAAATGGCTGGAGGAGGTCCCACGCGCCGGCACGTGAGACAGATCTCGTCGGAGAAAAGAAACTCCGATGGGCGCGTGAGAGCGCGTGGAGACTCTGATGTCGGAGATTCTTTTTGGGGTTTGGCCGCTGAGGGTTGGAGGACCTCTTGGTGGTGTCGGTTTTTGCACAACACCACCAGAAATTTTTTTGACGAAAAGCGCCCTACAAAGGTCGCTGGATTGAAGCACGGCGACTGTTTCGGCTGGGTTTTCTTTCCCGGATATTTTCTCACAACCTCGCTCCGGTACCATGTGAATAACACAGGAAAAATTATATTATGTTGACTTATTAACAATGATACAATGAGCCCTATATATAATATATGTCATATTCCTACTACATATGGGACTAGGATTATTTACATATAACTATTTAACTAACAATAATTAAAGTACTTTTGGCGATCTATACAATCTAAGAGAAGTATTGCGATTTCACAAAGAAAGTACGCCTTAAATATACTAGAGGTGACTGCCATGGCAGATTACAAACCTATTGATACTCTTATGGAAACGAGTGTCAAACTTGTTCTTGGATAGAGACAGCTTTTGACAGATATTTTATTTGCAGTAAGTGTCATCTGTCAATTCCTACAAGCACGGTGTAAAGGTCATCGGGATGCAAAAAATCTATACCTTCAGATACATCAAAAGAGCTCGAGAACAAGGATTCTTATTCAAGACAAGGGTCATCTAGACATTGTTAGATATTTTCATACGGATTGGGCAGGTTCTCCGTCATATAGACGTTACACTTTTGGATATTGTCTTATGATTGGAGGAAACCTAATCTCTTGGGAAAGAATAAAGCAAGATGTTGCCGCCAGATCTAGTGCATAAGCAGAATATCAAGCAATGCCTCTTGCCATTACTGAACTTATCCAGTCGAAATAACTCCTCCAAGAGTTATGGTTTGTAGAAGTCAAACAAATGAAGCTAATTCGCGACAATCAAGTTGCTCTCCACATTGCCCCAAATCCTGTTTCTCATTAGAGGACAAAACATATAGAGGTGGATTGTCATTTAATTAGACACGAGATCGAGTCCAGATGCATAGTCACTAGCTTTGTTAGCTCGAAGGATCAGTTAAATGTTTTTACTAAATCCCTAAGATGACGTCGGATCGAATACATTTGTAACAAGCTTGGAGCTTATGATATATAAGCTCCTGCTTGAGGGGGAGTATTAAGATTCTATATGATTTGATTTGAGATTTGATTATGAGCTTATACTGTGATTATACACTTGTCAAAATTGTATGCACTGCAACTACTATAAATTATCAATCAAGCTTGAGGGAATAATCAAGCTTTTCAGCCTAACACACTCTAATTTCTCAATGCCAAGACTATGGAAGTTGGTAAATAAGTTCAAAGAGCTCAATTACAAATCTTCCATCTTTCAGAGATCTGTTCAATCACTCTGCATATTAACTAAATCTAATCTATGTACCACATCTAACATTATTATGTAATGAATCGGCATCTCTTTTATGTTGACTAAAGAAAATATTCCTACCTTAATTAAATAGCCTAACTCAGTAGCAGTGACAATTTGAGCCCAAACCCATTTGACCCGCCCAATCCGCCCAAGGTTGGGCCGATCATTGACCCGCCTATTTGTTGAATTCAGCCCATCTTGACCCAACTCATCTAAAATTGAGCTGATTTTTAGCCTAAATTGATCCATGAGTAACCTTGCTAAAATATCTTTAAAATAATTCTTTTTTGCTTGATATGTTACATATGACCATAATTAAAAGAAAAAAAAAGTCTTATTTGATAAAAAAAAATTCATAAGAAAACAACACATATTAATTAAAGCTTGATAAGAAAAGGGCGGGTTGGATTCTTTATTTCTTCATGTTCATAGACCAAGTAACTTTTGGGCGGGGTCATTGACCCACTTATTTATTGACTCAGCCCATTTTGACCCACCCAATATCAGTCCAACCCGCCCATTTGACATCCCTAGTAGTCAGGTTGACTGTTTGCTATAGCACTAGGCCCATGTTAGAAAAATAATTATCAGAGAAAGGCAGTTATATTTTCTTTACAGTAAATTGAAACCTAAAATATTGGAAGGCACCCACAATGTTGCCGAGTTCATTTTAGTGAAGACGTGGGGTCCTAGTCGGGTCAATTCTACCTTGGGCGCCTCACTCCTAGT